CGAGCGTGCCAAGCCCGCAACAGTTTAGCTGTCTCTAGGGTCAAGCCCACATCCACCAATCCTGAGGCTACTGTGGCCCAGACAGTGCTATGCCAAATGTGCAACCGCGATGCTGGCCCCGCCGTTCGTCTGTTATGAACAAAGCGGCGTACCTGCTGCAGTTTCACATTGCCCTCCTGCAAGCGGAACTTGAGAGTGGCCTTCTCAAAGTTGGAGTAGGAGAGCATGACGCCGAGATACTTAAAGGACGTCACCAGTGGAAAGCTCTCATGAGACTTGGACTCTCCCAGTCTCCACATCTTATGGCGGGTTCCGTCAGGCGTGGTGCGCCAATAAGTGTGCTTGGAGATGGCGCGTTGCGCCTGTTGGCCCTCGAGTTTAATCATAACAGTGCATTTTGCTCCATTGACAGCAAAACCATGGCTGCGGACCAACTGCAACAGTTGCTCAATCAGAGCATGAGCGCGATCCAGGTCCTCCAACGAGTGGATGTCGCGATGAACCGTAAGGTCATCTGCATAGCCCGTGAGGTAGTCCACTACCGCTCGAACTCCAACAAGAGCTATGAGCTCCCGGAAAATGGTGCCCGTAAGCATGGAAAAAGTGTGGGGGCAAGCTTACACCCCTGTTTAATGCCCGCAGTGGACTGGACCGTGTCCTCTTCGCCCTGGGTGCGAAACGTGTAAGCACTGCCAGCATGCAATGAGGCAACTAGGTCAATGAGGTCCTGCGGGACTCATGCGTCCTGCAGTGTGCTAAGCAAGTCTGTCCTGCTCACCATGTCAAAGGCTTGTGACAAGTCCAATGCAAAGCAGATGCCACCTACTAGCTGGGGACGAGTTTGCCCCGAGTGAAGTTGATGCCTGGTTCGTCGGGCCTCCTGGCAGTCATTGCGTACCTGAGTGACATGACCAACGACCCTGCTCAAGGCATCTGCAAGACCGCGATTCGGCTGGTAGGCAAATTGCGGGAGATCCCGAAGATAGTCAGCCGTGCAGGGAGGCAGCTGATCTCTGCAAGCCCCCGCCAGGCCCTTGCCGTCTGGTCGAATGATGCCGAGGGGACGCAGATTGCCAGGCTTCGTGGCCGGCTTGTTAGGCTTGGGGATAAAACACAAGTCAGCATCTTTTAAGGGCGGCTGAAGCACTTCAGCAGCCGGCGATGGGCGTTGCCCCCGAGCTTGCAGCGTTGCTGCTAACGCCTCTCCTGCAGCCGCCGAGCAGAGCCGCCAGGCAGCCGCCGGAGCAGAGCCTTGCGGCACCGCCTTGTGCGGTCTTATTGAGCCTATGTGCTTTGCCAGCAGACCAGCCGGGATGTCCGGTAGCGAGTCCACCTGGTGATCAAGAGGCGGATGTCTGGCAAAGACCTGTTCCACGTGGTCTCGAAGCAGGCGAAGCTCAGAGGAAGAATCCAGCAGCAGACCGTCCGGCCCCTGAAGCTGTGCCTTAGTTTGAGGTTCCCAAGGTCGGAGCTTCTTGAGGGTCTTGTGTGCGATGTAAGAATCGTGCCTGGCACACGCCTCATCGACCTCAGCCTGGAAAGCTCGGTGTCGTTCCTTCTTGGCTAAGTAGAGAGCCTGCTTATGCCATCGATTCAGGTCCTCCAATGACTGATCTAGGTCGGATAAGGTGGTTATGGAGTCCTCATGCAAAGAACGAATATGAGCGACTCGACTCCACATTCGCAGCGTCGCACGGTGCTGAGCAGTTTCAGGAGCTTGCTGAGGCCGTGGTTTGGGGAAGAACAGTGCAGAGGCCTCCAGCAGTACCTGATTGACTTCATCAGGCGTGTGAGTCCGAGAGGACAGACGCTGGCCCACCCAGTCCTGCATGCGACCGGCTATTGGCAGACCTGAACGGACAGCCGTCTCTAGAGCTTCCTTATGAAAGGTCGTGGAAGGACAAGCAGGCTTTGGCAGATTCCAGTGCTGGGTGGGTCTGAGTTGAGCCAAGACTGCTTTGCCAGGCCCTTGGCCGAGGCTTCTGAAGTGAGCAGTCAATTTGTGATCCCTGACCATTCAGGAAAAAAGTGTGACCTGCACCACTAGACCATGTGTTAAGAGCTACCAACCGATGGGAGGAGACTAAGGCCTGGAACGATTCATCCTGCATCTGAGTTTGCTCTGGCTTGGTGCTACACTGACCTACCAGGCCCTCCTGCGGGGTCAGTCGAGCATTAAAGTCTCCTGCCAAGAGAAAAGTATCTCGCGCTGGAATGGCCCGTATCGCAGCCGACAGATCGCGGAGCAGGTGTGAGCGGTCATCCTTGTTCTGCTGTGGAGTCTTCTTAGAAGACCAGGCATGTTGGTAGACCGCTAATACATGCACACGAGCCCCAAGCCACGGGAAGATGACCTGAATGAGCCTTCCCCGGCGTTGCTCGCGCCATCTTATCTTCTTCTTGTCTATCTGCGGATCGAGAGAGAAGAACCATGACGCCGTCCGCTCGGCTTGTGTCGTGTACAGCCGGCTGCGTGGCAGCGCCTTGCTTGGGGCGTTGCCCTGAAGTGGCTTTACCTTTAGGTGCTCGAGCAGCCCCTTTTGTGGCGGAGCTGACGCAGTGCCAGCCTTCGACATCAAATTCAGCTGTCTCACTCCAGTGGGTTTCCTGAAGGACAAGAATGTCACAGACTGACTTGGCCTCCGTGCGAAGCCATGTCTTCACTTCTGCCCATTGTTGCATGCCAAGGTGCCCTGCATTCCAGGAGAGAACACGAAGAGAGAGACTTGCTGGCACGACCGCCTCTCGGGCGCGAGCGGAAACTGGCAGAGTTATAATTGAGGGACCTGAAGGAGAAATCGTGGAGCTAGGCTGCACTGGGAGGGGGGGAGGGGAAGGGGGGGTGAGTCCACTGCGACGCAGATGTTCAGGCGTCAACGTACCATTCCGGTACGGGATGCTTTCTTGTGTTCGATGAACCTTATTGCAAGCCTTGCGAAAGGCCTTCTTGCGAATGCTCTCATATGAATGCTGGTGCATTGGCGATTGCGCCGTCCGCCAGTTTCGCCGGAAAGAGAGAACTCGATCCGACTCCCTTCACCCTGCGGAAAAGGTGAAAACCACTACCGCTTACCTCATGCCAAGGTTGTATAACTGCAGACAGAGGCCCGGGAATTGGGACCCGGTAGATCACAGCGACACGCGGCTCCGGGAATGGCTATGGCTCAGTAAGAGGACGGTCCCTTAAGCTTCGCAGAAGGGGCACGTTGCGAGCCTCTAGCGTTGGCACCCAGAGCCTTGTTAGCAAAGCTACACAGCCTGCTGTGATCCATAGCGGCTACAACAACAACAACAACAGCAACGACAGGTGATCCCTCCGTGAAGAGGCCCAGCGCTCTCTTTTCTTCCAGGGCACTCGGGAAGCATCTTGTGGCAGGCACATATAAAAAGGGACGCTTGTGACCTGCAGTTCTTCTCAAGCGTCCCAGATTCCCCCAGACGGGATATGGGACAGTTTTCAGGTCAAGTTGGGTACATGCGCGATGTGGGGCGAGGAGCTGTTTCCATCGAGACCCAGCACACTTACTATAGCAGCCTGAATAATCAGAATCGAGTTTTGGGTATATTATAAGAACCAAAACTCTATTAAGGAATTCCCAAAACAAGATTGGTAATTATTTGGGAACCTATAGTACAGTGATCCGGTCTCTTGGATGTTGTTGGAAGGTCGGGAATTCAGCGTCTTGAGACGTCGCAGGTTTGTTTTTCTAGTTTCGCCAAGGTGGTCAAGAATAATGTGAGTACTTAAAGGGTCATGGGACTGAGTAACTAGGGTCATAATTAGGGTAACAAAACTTATAATTACTTAGAACCCAATCAGGGCCCCGGCTTTAAATGAACTTTCAAAGGGACTCTAATCTAGAGAAGTACCCATGTACCCAACCATGGAATCCGATACCTCCTGTCGAAGCCCCAGATCCCCCTTAGCCCGAAGCCCTATACTATACTGAACTTGGTACCCTTGCAAAGATCATAATTTCAGCTGCTTCTTAGGTCTTAAGGATTATAGTAACCCAAGATGACAAGTTGTTGCCGAGTACCCCTAAGTATAACCCATAAACGCTGAACCCTAGGGTTCAATCTAGTGCCACCACCCCTACGCACTAATGGGAAGGCCTTTGGTCGAATCAATTCCGTTCTTAGACCGGGCACATGCTCAAAAACAGCAAACGCTGGATTGAGTCATCAAAATCTATGTCAAAGGTCTTGCCGTGGTCAATATCGAAACCACAGCTGACTACTCACTCAGACACTGCTTAAGACAAGACTCATTAACAGTCTGGATCGTTTCCGTGGATCTGTGCTCCTCGCAATCACTGGTAGTTAGCTCTTTGCTGTCTGCCACATGAACAGACAAGCATAAATAAAGCCCTCATGGGCCTATGTGATGAACTCCACGCCTTGAACACGGGAGTGTGTGTGAACAGGCCCAAAATCAACCCTCACCCGATCAGGCGGCATCGCATCAGAAGGCACGCTGCCAATGAAACTGGGGCTGATCCTGCGATGGTTCATCGTGGCCAACCACGCCGACTACCGACGAATGCCGAGCACCCAGGTCCAAAGTAACACGGGGTCTCCAGTAGCTGCACCATTTCGCGTGCAGCTTGAAATCTTAAACACTTCAGAAGGCATGATGCCATTGTACGGCAACTTGAACGCGAGCAGAGACAATCCCCCTTTGCAGTTTCGGATTCCGGGACTTTTGGCTCAATGGTGAGCCAGTGTCATATCTCCAGCTTGCGAACAAGTCTCGCTCTAGCCTGAAGCCTTCAGGCTTGGGTTTAGGGTTCAGGGTTCAGGGTTTAGGGTTCAGGGTTGAGGGTTCAGGCTTAGGTGGAAAAGTAAACTGCCCAACCCGGTGGCCGTGCGGCACGATTAAATCTTTGCCACACATCCCGGCTGTTGGGAGAAGAGATTTAACAAAATTAAAAGGAGAGCCAGGTGCAGGGCACGAGGATTAAAAACGCACCGGTAGACTCCCACCTGGCTTCGGGATTTTAGGATGTTGCTCGACTGAACCACGGCCGTGGGAAGTTCCTGGGCAAGTCATCGTACTTGGCCAGTTTCTCCGACACTGACCAGTTAAGCTCAAAGCAGGCAGAAAAACCTATATAATGATGAGAAATATGGAAAGTGCGCATAGTTGCCAAGTGCGACCCAGCAACCACCCCTGTGGCTTGGGCGATGCTGGCTTCTTCGGGTCTTCGTGTGGATCGGGCAGCCTCCGGGACTCCCTGAACTATTAACCTTAAACCGCAACACCTAAATCCTAAACTCGCCTGCGAAACGCGACCTCCTTCTCGAGCTTTCGCCTCCCTGAGCGTGTGGCAAGCTCCTGCAAAGCTTATAGGGTTTAGGATTTGGGTTTTAGGGCCTGGGGTGGAGAGCTCCTTCGACAGTTTCGCGTACTCGCAAAGTTTGCCGTTCCATGCTCATGAATATACAGGTTACCCTATCCATCCGTGCATCCGTGCATCCCTGCATCCGTGCATCCGTGCATCCATGCATCCGTCCATCCATCCATCCATCCATCCATCAATCCATCCATCCTTCCATCCATCCATCTATCCATCCATCCATGCACTTACACGCACATACATTCATACATGCATACATACATACAAAATTACGTACGTCCGTACATACATACATGTATAATAGAATGTGCATGTATGTATGTATGTATGTATGTATGTGTACGTTTGGACACATTTCCGAATAGGGTGGGAGGGGTGGGGGTAGGGCGGGGGGGGGTTAATTTCAGGACGTCCGGCTTCAGCGGATATGCTCATGGTCATGTAGTCTTCGTGGGCGCGCAGCTTTTTTTACACATCCGTTGAGTGGCCAGAAATCCTTTACTAAGGCCCTTGTTCCTACTGGGCTCAAGTGCGCCCTAATCCATTAACCTTCAACACGCAAAGCTTTTGTTCGGAACGTGCTGCTTCCGGAGGGTTTGGGTTTTAACTTTGTGGCTTTCTGGGCTATCCCCAAACCCTAAACACGGGTGTCAGATAGATGTTGGGAAATGGCGGCCCGCTTAATTAGATTGGCTTAGGCCCGACAGCATTGCTACAATACAGTCATATACAAAAACGTAGATTCATATACTCGGGCCCAAGGGCAGTCACTTAGTTTGCACGTACTTGAAGCAGTGAAGTCTATGGAAGAGCTCCGGGCTTTAAGCAACGCGAAACCTGTTACATTACTCTGCCGCAGGTTTCAAATGCCCCTGCGCTGTGGCCAGAGCACGATGTTGCAGCTTTTCTGTTTGAAACTGTGCCTTGCCAAGAGCTCCCTGTGCAAAAAAGGCCTTCGAAAACACAAAATCAATGCAGTGTATACTGCGTCCGCACTGCGGCCAGAGCACTGGTTATTTTCTAGACCCATCGGAAAAAGGCAAACAATCGCCCGAGCGAAAACTTCTTGCCCATGCAGAACGGGCAGTCAAAAACATTGTCTCCAAATGCACGGCCACGTACGGGCGCCGTCGCCGATCTGTTTTCTCTCTGCCTGGCTATAGGACGAGCCTACGATGCAGGGTTTACTGTGTGCGTCTGCAGACCAATGTCTGCACTTCTGTCAATACTCGTGCTTACATATATGTGCGTTTTTTGAACCCAGGCTCTATTCCGGCGTATATGTTCATATACATGCATCTATAACATCATTTTCATTTTCTCATACTTGTACTTATGCATGTACCTGTGCTTGCTGACCTTGGTTCTATGTACATGTGCCTAGATCATCTTGTATACAGTATACACCTACTGAGTAGACCTACTGTCACAGACTCAGAAAGGTTACATGGTGCGGGGGGTCAATCACGATGCGCGTGCGGAAAACCCAAGAGAACTGCAGAAAAGCAAGGGTAGCAGGTAGCAGCTCCTTCATCATGTTCTCGATACGAAGTTTATGGTAGTTGTGCAAGATCCGGTTCGGGGCCGCAGGCACCTCTGGCCTTTTGGGCATGCTGGTGGAGAAGTAGGACTGTCGAGTATCCAACGAAGGCACCCCAAAGTCACCAGTGTTCACGCGACCTCGTCGGCACGTCTCAGCTCCATCGGGCAGTAGTGGCTCGCCTCCCTCGCTCACGCTGGGCTGAACATGCAGACTCTCGTCAATGGGGAAGACTGGTGGCAGATCCTGATCTCCACCAGCCTCCGTTGGCTTCCGGGGTGGTGGTATGAAGTTGAGATTCCATCCCCACAGCTCGAGGGCCATTGCAGGACAATCCACGGAGACTCCGTCTACATACCCGTCCTACTCCACTTCCCTTCAGTCCAGCCACATTTGCGTCATGGCTATGCCACAAGGGATGCAACTGTGCCCTCCGTGGACAGACCCTGATTTAGAGAACGACCCGTAAGAATTCAGGGGTTTTAAAGCGTTTGTATCCGAGGACATGCTGATGTATGGTGGCCAAGAACAGAGTGGCGGCCGGAGCCCTGGGAATGAGAGCAGGAACTGTGAGGGTTTACGGGCTAGGGGTTTAGGGCTTCGTAAGAAGTGGGATTTCGGAGTGCACATAGTTACTTGGCACGTGAACGCCAACTACAGCACAACTGAACCGGATGTTACCGATGCTGCAGCCCTCCTGCAACTGCTACAGCTTCTTCCTCCTCCTATAATCTCCCTGCTCCTCCTCGTTCCTCACTACTGCACACATCCCGGAGAAAACGAGGACGAGGACGAATAGACGACGACGGCGACTGGCACCGCCGCTGCCAATACAACAACTACACTACAACTGCTTCTCCTACCTCCTACTACTAGACTAATACTACAACTACAACTACAACTACAACTACAACTACAACTACTACTACTACTACTACTACTACTACTACTACTACTACTACTCCTGCTGCTGCTACTACTACTGCTACTGCTACTGCTACTACTACTACTACTACTACTACTACTACTACTACTTAAAGGCTCATGGGACTTAGTAAGTAAGGTTATAAGTAGGGTTATAATTAGGATAACCCCACTTAGCGGACTTATAACCCCAATTATAACCTACTTACTAGGTCCCATGATCCTTCAAGTACTACTACTACTACTACTACTACTACTACTACTACTACTACTACTACTACTACTACTACTACTACTACTAATACTATTAATACTACTAGGCTACTAGGCTACTAGGCTACTACTACTACTACTACTACTACTACTCCTCCTACTCCTACTCCTACCACTACCACTACTACTACTACTACTACTACTACTACTACTACTACTACTACTACTACAAGTACTACTACTACTACTACTACTACTACTACTACTACTACTCCTACTGCCGCTGACACTGCCACTGCTACTGCTACTGCTATTACTACTACTACTACGATGACTGCGACTACTACTACTACTACGACTACTACTACTACTGCTGCTGCTACTACTACTACTACTACCAACTACTAACAACTACTAACAACAACAACAACAACAACTGCTGCTGCTACTACTACTACTACTACTACTACTACGTACTACGTACTACGTACTACGTACTACGTACTACGTACTACGTACTACGTACTACCTACTACTACGACTACTACTACTACTACTACTACTACTAAAAAATATAATACTACTACTACTACTACTACTACGACTACGACTACGACTACGACAACTACTACTACTACTACTCCTACTGGCACTGCCACTGCCACTGGTACTGCTACTACTACTACGACTACTACTACGACTACTACTACTACTACTACTACTACTACTACTACTACTACTATTCCTGCTGCTGCTGCTACTGCTACTACTGCTACTGCTACTACTACTACTACTACCAACTACTAACAACTACTAACAACTACAACAACAACAACTGCTGCTGCTGCTGCTACTACTACTACTACTACTCCTGCTACTACTACTACTACTACTACTACTACTACTACTACTACTACTCCTGCTACTACTACTACTGCTACTACTACCACTGCTGCCACTGCTACTACAACAGCTGCTGCTACTGCGACAGCCGCTGCCGCTGCCGCTGCCGCTGCCACTACTACTACTACTACTACTACTACTACTACTACTACTACTACTACTACTACTACTACTACTACCACTACCACACCACCGCCGCCACCAACACCACCATCAACACCACCATCAGCACCACCAAGCACTACTGCCAGTAGATCCACACGGCAACCACCTAACCCAACGCCAAAAGCCTAGGGCCTAGGACGAAGACATCGGCTGGTTCAGTCTAGCGGCCACAGCAGAAAAAGGCTACGTGACTCAACCTCACTCCTTCTTCCTCTCGTGTCGGGTATGGTGTGAACAGACGAGGCAATCAGCCATCAAGCGCCCTTTGCCTTCACCATACGCAAACACAGCAATAAGATACCAAATACAAAAAGAAAATAAGTCTGAGTGCAAACGTATGTCAGTAAATCTGTGCCGTATTCACTTCTTATATAGACACACACGTAGATGTATACAGTATGTGTATATTTATATATGCATAGATACACACCTATAAGCATATGTACACATATACATGTATATATATATATACATCGATATGTACATGTGTGTACATAAGTAGTGAATCCATCCTCCAGCCCTATAGAGCCACGAGCCTAGACCTCCGTGCCAAGAAGCTGGATGCTGGTGGAGGCAACGCTTTTCACCTGAGTCTGGTAGCATCTGTTGCTTTCTTCTAGGCTTCCTCAGTCCACTAATATAGGGGCCTAAAAATTAGAATGTAGGGTTAAGGTTTAGGGTTTCGGCAATCCAGGCGAGGCATGTTTAGGGTTTAAGGGTTTAGGGTTTAGCGTTTAAGGGTTTCGATGCTCACACTCGCACAAAGCAGGCAAGGCTCCACATAGTCCACAGTTTAAGGGTTTAGGGTTTATAGCTTGGTGCTTCTCAATTTTTGGGTTGAACTGGGGGTTTTTGAATTTGAAGGCAGCTTGCTGCTTCAGGCCTCGGCTGAAAGCTCCATTGATTCCCAATGCAAACCCAAGCCGCGCTGCCCGCGCCCTCAGAGCGGCCCGACCGCGCCGAGAGGGGTGCCTCTTGTGGGTGGGTTTTGTGGGCATTGAGGAGTTTAAGGGCTGCGGGTTTACGGTCTTCGGGCGTTTCGGAAAAGTCGCGGAGGAGGGAGGGAGCCGCGTTTCGGTTCGCGCGTAAGCTTTTTGCAGCAGCACACGGAATCCGGTGGTTTTGATTCGGGAAGAGTTGTTGTGAAGACTTTACCAATAGTTACCCTCCCTCCACGGGTTGGCAACACAACTCCACTGATAGAACTCCTGAGAACCTTGCATGTTTTTTCTCATGGAGGGTCCCGCAAGCCGTATGAAGCAGCCCCCTGTGAAAAGATTTGTATAAACCAGTACAAGTCATCCAACAAGTCCTAAACTAGAGCCCAGCACAGGCAGGTCGAATCTGTCGAGGCAGAGGGCTCCGTACAAAAGCTCTCTTAGCATGGCAGAAGAGCCATAGAGTTTCGGCTTTAAGGGTTTCTGGTCTTGGGGTTGCGATAAGGTTCAGGCAGCTGTATCTCCCTGGGACTGGGATGACCTCCAACAGCCCCTGCAAGGTAGACAGGTGCCCTCAATCCATAATAATCATAAACCATCCATGTACAAACAGGCCAAGATCCAAATCCTCAATGTAGACACAGTTTAGGGCCTAGGGTTCAGGTTTTTTTTTTGAGCGGCCCCAGGGTTCAGGGTTTAGGGGTTTAGGGTTTAGAGGGTTCAGGGTTTAAAAACTGTAGTGTGAGAGTTCTACATGTGAGGATGTCTTGCTTCGGCTCCTGCTCCTCCCAAACCCGAGTACCTAATTATTGGGTCCTTTGGACCCTTATATATAATATAACCCAAAAGCTTAACCTTAAGTTATATCGGTGCAGGGTTTAGGAAGTTCAGGAATTGCTAGGCTTGGGGCTTGGTTTAGGCTTGTGGCTTGCTCTTGCTCCAACTCTTGCTCCTCCGCCTGCTCTGGCTCCTGAACCCTCCTAATGCAAATCAGGCTGTAAAAGGCTGGGATGATGTCAGGGGCATTTGGCTAAAAGTGACACTTTTTTCGGTGGTGTATTTACTACATTGGAGGAGGAGACTAGCCATTGGGGCAGGCTACAGCCGATGGACCGCTAGATCGGTCCAAGTGCTAAGCCCAGAGACGCCCTGCGAGCCCCTGAATCCACAAAAACCCGCAGATCTTCAGAACCCGAAGCCCCATCATCCCCCGCCGAAAGCAATTAGGGTTTAGGGTTTAGGGTTTAGGGAACAACAAAAACCATCAAACCCCTGGATTGAATCTGCACCTGAGCCTCTTCTTGCTCCTCTCGAGGAGGCACCTGGCGGCAAGGGTCTTTAGGCTTGAGGCTCTTCAGCGCCTCTCTACTCAAAGGGTCATGGGACTTAGTAACTAGGCCAAAATTAGGGTAACTATACTTATGATTACTTATAACCCCAATTAGCGTACTTATAACCCTACTTGCTAAGTCCCATGATCCTCCAAGTAGTCCAGGGTCTCAAGGTGTTTGGGGAATCGATCCGAAGGATAGCGAGGAGCGTCTGAGAATGCAGGGGTACATTAAATTGGGTTCTGGGTCAAGAATATAACTTCAAGGCCTTGTCCTAACTACTATGAAGGTCCCCATATTAGCAGAAGGTTTCGAATGTTGTTCGTCAAGCATGGCTTATTTTGCCGACCCGTGCCTCCACTGGTGGCGGGGAAGGCTTCGCGGGTTGCCGATTGCCTGGTCTGCTCCGTTACTTCTGGGGGACTATATGTGTCTATGTGTGTTTGTGTAAGTCGATTTTCATGTATTCATGTGTATATAAATATATACCTATCTATCCATGATACCTGTATACTGACATATCTGTATGTGCATATACATGCAAGACAGACAGACATGGTGTGTACGTATTTTATGTATGCATGTACCTATGCAGGTATGCATGTACCTATGGATGTATGCATGCAAGTGTGCATGTAGACATGTGTAAGCATCTCCACGTGGATAGAGGCGAAGGGTTTCGCAACGGTTTGTGCCGGGGGGGGCCCTTCTGAAACGTATCCTAGGTCCTGCTGCTCTCCAGAAACAGGCAAGATACGTACGATTAACATATAACATAGGTATTTTTGACACTCACACTCGGACATAAAAGCATTAGTGTCAATGATAACATGCAAATGTATTTAGTATT